TCAGTTGGGGGAAATGTGCCGGGTTTACCTGAAACTTATTTACTGTTGACTTAGCAGGATGAAAAGGTACGAAATAGTGAAAAGTCAAAATAAGAACAATACTAACCGGGCCTACGTATCTGTCCATCTTTGTTATATCCATAACTACAACGGGACCTAGATTTTTTCGAATTTGAACTTCCAATCTAATGGAAGATACCCCACTACAATATGAACGATAGCGAATGAACGCGAGATTCATTGACTTTACATAAGCGTCTACTAAAACTATTTATTTCTGGGAAAAACTGTACACCAGCGTGCCAATGACCAAAAAACGATACAGACTCGTTGCGAAAGTTAGCGACCACACAGGAAAAGCGCGATTTGAAAAACTATGCACAAATATCTGTACAAACAAGCCGGAAGGATTCTCAAGAGATAACCTGTGAGAAGTATGCCACCGGGATTGAAAAAACTACGACTGAAAATTTCGTCAAAAAAGCTTACGAAATCGTAATTATAGACGACTTGTTCGGTTAATTATGTGATGGAAAAATGGTGGCTCAGACATATAAGAAATATGATAAGCAAAATGTACATAAATCAGTAGCGTCAGAAGATGACAAGTCTCTTCGAAGGAGGAAGAATAAAAGCACAAAGAGATTTGACAAAGAATGAAGACGGAGCTCACAAGAATTCACCTCACTCAAATGAGCGACGAAGGTCAACGACAAAAAGTATGCACTTTCACCAATTAGAACTCCCTGTCAGGAAATAGCGCAGGAGCCACTAAGGTCCATCCGTAAAGTGCCACACAAAGCCAGGAGGACACAATCTTCACCCAAACAGATGCCATATTGCTATTCAGATGTGTGAGATCATTGTCAGGACTAAATAAAGAAACGTTTAAAATTTTGTGGCAGCCACAAAAAGAAGAACTAGTTAAACTTACTTGTACCAGCTGGTTAATGTCATCATAACGTAAAGCGATGCGAGTCCAAACATAAAGTGGAAGAAAGAGTACGAATACGCCACTCCCTCTGACTCGTTGTCCCAAACACGGCGTGAGCTGCCATGAGATGCAGCTTCTTCGTCGTCTGCAACTAAAATGTCACAACGTTCTACTCATTTGAGAGCCGTTGCCGGAGATGTTTGCAAGCAAACAAAGGAATAACAACAAATAATTCCATCAAGATACACAATCTCTTTTTTGAAGACTTTCCAACAAATTCAAGACTTGGACTTCTCAACATGCTACCGCAGTTGACCTGCTAAACTAGTCAATTCCAATAAATCATTCCAATATATTACTGAACATTAGCTGGAGATAAAAACTACACGTTTTCGTCTCTGCGCGGTTCACCAGTGAGAATAAAAAGGACCAACAGATGAGCTACTCATAACCGCCCGTTGTATCCAGAAACACTTTTGTACAAATACTAAATGGTGTCAACTTTTGCGGCACTTTTGCCTAAAGAAAAATTGAGAGAGGACCCTCTTCTTACGGCCAAAAAAAAAAAAAACGCCAGAAAGGAAGTGATGCCGCCAGAAACTTTCAGCGTTCTTCAACTTTTGATACTTTTTGCCTGTAACTTGCAGATAATGCCATCTCCTTTCTCCTTCCCGCTTAAGAGGTAAAGATGAGCTATTTGTGATGCTTTTTCGGATATTTCTCTTACGACGTGCTTAATTTTCTTCCGCTCTTAACTAAATCAAAAATTAATGGAAAAGAAATTACATTTCAAAATCTAGTGTCCATTTCGTGAAATAATTTAT